GGTCTCTTCTTTCTTCCAGGCCATTCGAACCATTAACCCTTGGAGTGACCTGAGCATGAGTGCAGAGGAGTTCACAGACACCGTGTTTGCCAAGATCGACATCAATGGGGATGGTGAGGGGGTACAGAGGGGCACAGGGAGGCTCAGCGGGTGAGAAGTCAGGCGGAGGGGGACAGGCAGAGAGCAGAGGGGAGGGAAAGAGGCATGAAGAACTAAAGACCGGGTCCTGCTCACCTCCTGCAACCACCTCTGCCCCAGGTGCAGAATTGGCTTCTAGAGGTTTCTAGACCAGACTTTAGGCTCAGGATCCTCTTGCCTACGCGCCCAGGCCTCTGTTTAACTCTGGGCTCTGCCGTGAACAGGATCCTCCCATTGAATTCCTCTTCTTGTGCTCCAGGGGAACTTTCTCTCGAGGAGTTTATGGAGGGCGTCCAGAAGGACCAGATGCTGCTGGACACACTCACGCGAAGCCTGGACCTCACCCGAATTGTACGCCGGCTCCAGACCGGGGAGCAGGAAGAGGCTGGGGCTGGCGATGGCGATGGAGCGGGGAAGGCCGCAGGCTGAGCCCCTGCCCGGCTCTGCATTGGGAGATGGGGCCCTATGGCCGTGCCTGGCCTCCTGTTTGTCTTAATGTTCTATAGAATCTGCTTATCCCAAGTCTCAGCTGGCCTCCCTGGCATGTGTGTGGCAGCCCCGGAGCAGAAGTGGGAGTGGAAAGCAGACACGGACGGCGCCTGGGCCCTCGGGGACTCGGCTGCTGGTGGGGCATTGTTCAGCATCCCTCTGTTCAGGCTCCTCCTTTGACCCTCCTGGCACCTGACCCAGCTTTTACCAGCTTCCCCATGGACTTTTCCAGCCCCTGCCCTGCTAGACATGGAAACCCTGAGGCAGACTGAGGCCCTCCTGGGTCCCCCAGGGGAGACCCTAAAATCACTGGCCGCCCCTTCCACCCTGGCGCTACAGTTCCCTCCTCTCAGGACCCCAGATGTACTTCCATGGTTTGTAAAGATTCATTCCTCCAACAAGCATTTATTGAGCACCTATTGTGTACTAAGACTAGACGTCAGCTATACAAAGAAGGCAATTCCCAACCTCAAGGGCTTACAAGCTAGTGGCAGATGCAGAGACCAGCATCAGTAGAATAAAATGTGCTCAGGCAAGTTAGGAATGTGGGGCTTCTGAGACTCAGCAGCACCACGGTGGCCTTGGACTTTGAAAAGGTGGTTGGAGGTGGCACATGGAGATGATGGGGGGTGGTTGGCTTCTTTGGGGTGTACACATGCACAAGTGGGCCTTCATATAAGCAGGGGCACTCTTAGGAATAAATTGGAGGTGGCCCGTAAGTTTAAATTTTACCAAATTTAGAATAAGGGCCACCGTGTTTGTATTAGGGGGCAGCTCCTAGGCTAAGCCACAGCTCCTTCAAGATGTATAGAATCAGGCGCTGGTGGCTCACATCTGTAACCCTAGCTACTCAGGGGGCTGAGGTCTGAGGGTCTCTGTTTGGAGCCAGTGCAGGCAGAAAGTCCCTTATCTCCAGTTAATCAGCCAGAAGTGGAGGTGTGGTTCAAGTGGGAAAGCACCAGCTTTGAGCCGGGGAAGAAAAACCCAGGCAAGAATAGGAGGCCCTAAGTTCAAGTCCTCATACACACACACACACACACACACACACACACACACACAACCATACCAAGATGGAACATTTGAATGTTTGGATGACAGCATAGCTCAACTGGTTGTGGTGTGTGAGTGCACGCATGCGCGTGTTCAGACCTTCTGCCAGGCTTTGCTCCAGCTCAGCCTGGGCCAGAAAGTAAAAGAAAGAGGGCAGCATGGCAGAGTTCTCATTTATCCAAAGAAACGCTGATTCTTTTTTTTTTTTTGGGTCTGGTCATGGGCCTGAACTCTGGGCCTGGGCGCTGTCCCTCAGCTCTTCAGCTCAAGGCTAGCGCTCTACCACTTGAGCCACAGCACCACTTCCTTTTTTCTTTTTGCTTATGTGGTGCTGAGGAATCGAATCCAGGGCCTCAGGCATGCAAGGCAAGCGCTCTACCACTGAGCCACCTTCCCAGCCCTGATTCTTTCTAGAAGAGACTGCACACATCCTTCATATTTTGCATACTCAGTGGCATGTGGCACCCCACGCGTTCCCGCATCTGCAGCTCACCGCAGATGACCGACCATCCCTGGTCTGACCTAAATCCCTCTTGTTGCAGTGATGCCTCACACCCATTGGGATGTGGGGCTGGTTTTTGCACACCTCAGCTTTAGGCACACCCCACTCAGAGAGCCACCCCTCCGCGGGGGGGTTCAGCAGCTCTGCCCTGTGTCGCAGCTGCATGGCTGCCACCAGAATGTGCCGAGAGCCCCAGGCTGAGCACTGTGACCTCGAGCTTTCTCTTGAGCCAGAGTCTTCACTTTAGCAGAGTGAGCAAAAATCCAGAGGTGAGCCGGGAGTTGGTGGCTCACGCTGTAATCCTAGCTACTCAGGTGGGTGAGATCTGAGGATTGTGGTTCAAAGCCAGCCCGGGCAGGAACATCTATGAAACTTGTTATCTCCAATGAACCACCAGAAAACCAGAAGTGGTGCTGTGGCCCAAGTGGTTGAGCACTCGCTTTGAGCTGAAGAGCTGAGGGACAGCGCCCAGGCCCAGAGTTCAAGCCCCCCTCCCCCCCGCATCAAAATCCAGAAGAGAAAAGCTGGGGTGGGGGTGGAAGGAGAATGGACCATGAAGTCGGAGGTTAGAGGGCGTGCTTCGCTCACCCCCGTCCCGCCCATGACCTCCCGGGACGGGGAGGTCAGCTGGAACCTGAGCAGCAGAGATGGAAGAGGGGTAGGCAGAGCTGAGGACAGCTCGGAAGAGAATGGGCACTGCCGGTCCAGCTTCCTCTCCCCGTGGCTGCCTCGTGGGGGCTCCTGAAGGTAACTGGGAATGTGACTGTGAGGAATCAGGACCATTTCTCCTCCTCACCGTCATGGTGCATGTGTCTGTGTTCCACTTGAGATAGTATTAATAGTCACTAATTTTTTTTTGCGGGGGGGTTGCAGTCCTGGGGCTTGTACGCAAGGCCTGGGTTCTGTCCCTGAGGGTTTATACTCAAGGTTAGCACTCTACTACTTGAACCACAGCTCCACTTCTGGCATTTTTGGGTATTTTTAGTGGATATAAAGTCTTATGGAAGCCGGGAGCTGGTGGCTCACGCCTGTAAGCCTAGCTACTCAGGAGGCTGAGATCTGAGGATCACAGTTCAAAGCCAGCCTGGGCAGGAAAGTCCATGAAACTCTTATCTCCAATTAACCACTAGGAAACCAGAAGTGGTGCTGTGGCTCAAGTGCTAGAGCACTTGCCTTAAGCTGAAGAGCTCAGGGACAGTGTCCAGGCCCAGAGTTCAAGCCCCATGACCAACCCCCCCCCCAAAAAAAAAAAGTCTCATGGACTTTTCTGCCTTAGCTGGCTTTGAACTGAGATCCTCAGACCTTAGATAAGTAAGTAGCTAAGATTACAGGTGTGAGCCACCAGTGTCCAGCCTACCACTGCTTTCTTTTTTCTCTCTTTTTTTTCCTCCAGTATTAGTGCCTGAACTCAGGGCCTTACACCCTCAGTTACCTTTTTCTGCTTAAGGTTGGTCCATCACCGATGGAGTCACAGCTCCACTCCTAGCGTTTTGGTGATTAATGGAAGCTAAGAGTCTCACGGGCTTTCTTGGGGGCTGACTTTGAACCATGATCCTCAGATCTCAGCCTCCTGAGACAGGTATGAGCCACCAGCACCTGGCTCTCACACTGATTGAAAAGGGAGTTTAGGAATTCTCACGGGAGCACCCCATGGGATACCATACGTATAAAGCCTTGGGCTTATTAGCTTTATTTTTTATATGTGAACATATAAACATACCTATTTAAGCTAAAGCAAATGTTTTTCCAGGCCCCACAGGAAATCATTGCACAGGCTGAGCACCGCCTCCTCTTCCTGTTCTCGGAGGGGCCTCCAGAAGCTGCAGAGCTGCCAGAGGCCTGAGCCCTGGAGGCTCCCCTGGAATCTAGTGTCTATACCAGAGCTGTAGAAGAGTTTGTGTAACAACAGTGAATCCTACACCTAAAAACACCAGAGAGTCAAATTGCCTCTCTGGTCTGCCTGTCCCAGGTTAGGGAAGAGAAGCGGTTCTTTGGGGTCACTCAGCTGTTGTAGACCCAGTCTGGTCTGGAACTCAGGTCAGCAGGCCCCCAGGCCTCCCTATCGGCAGAAAGCATCTCCATCCTTTAAGAGAGTCATGAGTTTATGGCTGCTGGGCAGGCACTCTACCGCTTGAGCCATGCTCTCAGCCCTGAGGTTATGGCTGGGAATGGTGGAAGGTCCATGCTGAGCACGGCAAGAGGGAGGAAGGATGCAGGGTGAAGGGTGGAAGAGAGTGGCAGCAGTGTCTGGGGGGCAGCACTGGTCATTAAGATCACAGCCTGAGCTGGGCGCCGGTGGCTCATGTTGTAATCCTAGCTACTCAGGAGGCTGAGATCTGAGGATCTCCAATAAACACCAGAAAAATGGAAATGGCGCTGTGGCTCAAGTGGTAGAGTGCTCACCTTGAGGTGAAGAGCTGAGGGACAGCACCCAGGCCCAGAGTTCAAGCCCCACGACTGGGGCTGTTCACTTATTCATGTTGTGCTGGTGTGGATGGCTTGGGAATGGGCTGGGAGGGCCTCCCCATGACCAGGGCCTGAAGCAGGGGCAGGGGTGTAACAAGGATCCCCTTTAGTCTCCAACCCCTTCTAGCCCCTGCTCCCCACCTTTGCTCACTACTTTATTGTGGATATTCTCCTTGCGGACTTGGACGGTAGGATGCCCCCACCCAGTTAGGCCCTTGCTTCCAACTAAAAACATGTAGAGATCTGAAGGCGCTCCACACCCGCCGAGCCAAGGCATAGTTCTCCCAGGATCGGCTGAGGAAGCAGAGAAACGGTCTTCTAGGCAGAGTCCAGAGTCAATTGGCCTCATCATACCCAGAAGTCATTGCTGGTCCCCACTCACCCCTGCACAGGAGGTGCCCGTCCACCCCGTCCATACCAGCGTGAGTGGCCTGAGGAGCCTGTGCCAGGCCCCGCTCAGAGCTGGGAGACCCGGGGGGAGTCTGGACCCTCAGGAGGGCTGTGGACTTCCGCTGGGCTCTGCCAGTCTCCCAGCCTGCGGACTGCTCAAAACATGGCACTTTTTCTTCTCTGCTGGGTGATCCAGCCGCCGGGGTTCACGTCCATCTGCAGCATCTTCATCACCCACTTGTCACGGCGGGCGCCTTCGATGAACTCATTCAGGGAGAGCTGGCCTGCCCGGGGTGGGAGTGATCGTTACCCTGAGTGTGGGGGGGGGCAGGGTAGGAGGGTACTTTCTCTCCTACGTGCCTCCAGCTCTTCTACAAACCAGTCTGCAGCCTAAGGGCCTAAGCTTGCAGCTGGCAAGGTCTCAAATTCTCCAGGAGCCTTCTGGGATCCATCAGGATTATTATCATTTTATTTTTTGTGGTGGTGGTAGGGTTTGAACTCAGGTTCTCTCTACCACTTAAGCCATGCCCCAGCCCTACATGACCCTTCAACCTATGCCTTAGTCCTTAGGATGACAGGTGTGAGCCACTGCTCCCAGCTTGGGAGGGGCTTTCTTAACTTTGGCCCACAGCACCTATGAAGTTCAGAATGGACAGGAGGTCCTGAGGGCTCTTCTGTAGTTCCAGAGCAGGGTTTGGGCACTGAGCTCCCCAGAGGAGAGCCACCCCTGCTAAGCCCTCTGTTACACCTGGTCCCGTCTGCTCCTCTCAGTCCCTCTCGTGACCCCTGCTTTCCAGACATGGAAGCCCTGCAGGCTGAGGGGCTGATTATGTAAGCCAAGCCAGCCAGATTCCAAATTCCTGTTCTTTCTACTTGCTTGCCTGGCCTCCATTAGCAACTTCTGGAGGAGATTTATTTACTCAGTGCTAGGATTGGGGCTTGAACTCAGGGCCTTGAGCTCTTGCTTAAGGCTGGTGCTCTACCACTTGAACCACTCCTCCACTTTCAGATTTCACTTTTCTGGTTAACTGGAAATAAGAGTCTCATGAGGGCCTGGGGAGAAGGCTCAGCAGTAGAGTGCTTGCCTCTCATGCCTCACCACCACATAAACAGAAAAGGTTAGAAGTGGCACTGTGGCTCAAGTGGTAGAGCGCTCGCCTTGAGCTGAAGAGCTGAGGGACAGCGCCCAGGCCTAGAGTTCAAGCCCCATCACACACACACACACACACACACACACACACCCCCCCTCTCTCTCTCTCTCTCTCTCTCACACACACACACACACACACACAGAAGAGTCTCATGAACTTTTCTGCCTGGGCTGGCTTCGAACTGCAATTCTCAGATTGTAGCCTCCTAAAAGTAGACAGGATTACCAGCATGAGGCGTGGGCCTGAGGAGTTTTAAGCCCCCACAGCCGCCATGGGCTCAGGGGCACATTCTGGGGTGGGAATGTCAGTAGGAGGGCAGTGGGGAGTCTTGTCCCCGGGGCATCCCCTCCCATCTCACCATCTCCATTCTCATCCACCAGCAAGAAGATCCTGTCCACCACCTCCTCAGGCGTGAGCAGCTGGCCCTGCTGCTCCATGTCCATCTCCACCCGGCAGGCTTTCTTCAGCTTGTAGATGGCCTGCGGGAGAGGGGTAGGCTGTGGTGAGCAGGCTCTGCAAGCTGCAGCTCTACCTCGGGGGCCAGATCCTCAGCACCACCTCCCCACCACGGCCCCCAGACTCAGATCCAAGTCAAAAGCAACTCGTCCGAATTCGGTGGCTCATTCCGTCCGGGGACTTCCTGCCTCCCTTCCACCCCCAGCAGCATTGATCTGGTGAGGCACAGAGGGGCGTGTAAGCTGCTGGACCCTCTGTAGCCATGCTCCCCAAGAAGAGGGGAGATGCGGGGGAGGGTGGGGGGGGAGGGAAGGAAACAGTGCATGTCAAGTAGGATACTGGGAGGGCAGCTGTGGACTGGAGGAGTAAAGCAGGACTCCCCTGTCCTGTTCCCACACCAGCAAGAGGACATGGAGGTGTCGCGGAAGTGCAGAAGACAGGCTCCACCTGGACCCCCCCCCCCCATCGCCCTCCTTCCTGGTTTTCGTCAGTCATGGGGCTTGAACTAAGGGCCTTGAGCTCTTGCTTAAGGCTGGTGCTCTACCATTTGAACCATTCCTCCACTTTCAGATTTTTCTTTTCTGGTTAACTGGAGGAGGTAAGAGTCTCATGAGGGGCTGTACTCAGTACTCAGGTCCTGAGTACTGCCCCTGAGCTTTTGTGCTCAAGGCTAGCACTCTACCACCTTGAGCCACAGCTCCACTTCCGGTTTTCTGGTAGTTAATTGGAGATAAGAGTCTCATGGATTTTCCTGCTGGGGTTGGCTTCAGTGATCCTCAGATCTCCTCACTTCAGGTGTGAGCCACCAGCGCCCAGTGATAGATTCAAATTTAACTAGATTGTTGGGAGGTGGCAGACCTATGGGAAGGGGGGTCTGGTTGGAGGAAGCAGGTGGCTGGGGATCTGTCTTCGCTGGGTGTATTTTCCCTGGTTCCTTCCTGTCTCTTGCTCTGGTTCCTAGCTGCCATGAGGTGAGCAGCCTCCTCCATCACATACTCCTGCTACCACAACGCTCTGCCTCACCATGGCCCACAGTAATGGAGCCAGCAGACCATGCACTGACAGTCAGCAACTGTGAGCCAAATCAGCGTTTCTTCTTTTATTTCTCTCAGGTATTTGTTATAGTGATGAAAAGACCAAATTGCAGTTTTCCCTTATACATTTTTTTTTTTTTTTTGCTGGTCCTGGGACTTGAACTGAGGGCCTGGGTGCTGTCCCTGAGCCTCTTTGTACTCAAGGCTAGCACTCTACCACCTGAACTACAGCACCATTTCTGGCTCTTCTGAGTAGTTTATTGGAGATAAGTCTCACAGGGACTTTTCTGCCTGGACTGGCTTCAAACAGCGATCCTCAGATCTTAGCCTCCTGAGTAGCTAGGAGTATAGGCATGAGCCGCTGTCCCTCAGCTACATTTTTTTCTTATTAATGCCTGATTTTTCTTTTTTTTTTTTCTTAGGCCCAAGACCAGGACTTGAACTTGGTTCCTGACACTTTTACACATCTACCAACTGAGCCACACTTCCAACCCCATAATTTCTTCTTTTTATTATTTCCTTTCTCTCTCTCTTCCTTTTTTCTTTATCTCTTTCTTTCTCATTCTCTTTTTTTCTTTTTGTCAGTTGCGGGACTTGAACTGGGTGCCTGGGCTCTGTTCTTGAGTTTTTTTTTTCATTTTCTTTTTACCAGTTGTGGGGCTTGAACTCAGGGTCTGGGCACTGTCCCTGAGCTTTTTTTTTGCTCAAGGCTAGTGTTGTACCACTTTGAGTCACAATGCCACCTCGACTTTTCTGTTGGTTAGGTGGAGCTAAGAGTCCCATAGACTTTCCTGCCTAAGCGGCTTTGAACTGTAATCCTCAGATCTTGGCCTCCTGAGTAGCTAAGATTATAGGTATGAGCCACCAATGCCTGACATATTATTTTTCTTATATTTTCTTTGGAGTTTGCCTTATTTATTAGATAGCATCTTCTGTTTTATTGGTCTAGGCTAGCTTGGACTATGATCTTCTTATTTATACTTAATGTATAGCTGGGTCTGTAGGTACATACTACCAAGCCCAGCTATAGGGTCTTGTTCAATTTTTGTCTAGGCTGGACTTTAACCTTGATCCTATAATCTCTACTTCCTGAGTAGCTGAGGTTACAGGTGTGAGCCATTGTGTCTAGCTCAAAACATAGTATATATATATGCACGTGTGATATTATTTCTTTGCTTCATGGAATATTTGGAAAAGTACTGCCTAGGTTTCTACTTATCTTTCTGTCACTGAGTTCCAGCATTGCTTCAGTGGGATCATTTCTTTCTTCTCCAAGCCCCACCACTCTCTTCCATGGTCACCTGCCTTGAGCTTGGCTCAGGGACTGCCCTGAGCTGGGCTGCCGAGACACTGACCTCCACGATGTCCAGGAGTTCCAGGCGGTCGATGCAGCCATTGCGGTCTTTGTCATAGATCTTGAAGGTCCACTTCAGCTTGTGCTCCAGGGTGCCCCTCAGCACAAGGTTCAAGGCCGCCACGTACTCCAGGAAGTCAATGGTATTGTCCTGCATTGGGTGTGGATGTTGCTGAGACCTCTCTGGCCCCCAACCCCTCCTCCCAAGAGTAGGTTAAGCCCCACCAAGGGCCCCACATTCCTCCAGACTCAGGCTTTCCCTCCTCCCTGAAGACCATGGGGCCTCTGCCTTACTGTGCATGCTCCCCCCCTCTTCGGTGACCTGCCTGTCTCCTCATCCTCAATGTTCAGCTCAAAGGTCTCCTCCCCCAGGAAGCCTACCTTCCTGGACCATTTAGGCCAGTCTCCCCCTGCCCCACGCCATCGCCCGCCCCCCCACCCCCGGTTCTAACATTGGGGACACTGCTGTCATAGCACACAGCCCTGGGGAAGAATGGCAGTGTGCACTCCCTCCTGGATGAGTCAACATGGCTTGTTTCTTCTCCATGCCCAGCCCAGTGCTGCTTACACACAAACAAGGAAACTTGTTTGTGTCCTGACACAGATTTGCTTATTTTCCTTAGGATATTCAGTACTTAAAAAAACTTTTTTTAGGGGGGGATTGGGCTGGGCATGGTGGCATATGTCTGTAATCCCTGCAATTGGGAGGCTAAGACAAGAGGACAATGACCTTAAGGCCAGCCTAGACTATTCAGTAAGTTTCTTCCCTCAAAACAAACATATTTTATCTTAACCACCTTTCACCCCAGCCCTAGGTCAAGCCAGAAGTGGTTGCATATCTGTAATGCTAGCAGGCAGAGGGCAAAGCAGGAAGATCTTGAGTTCAAGGCCAGTGTGGGCTATATCTCAAGACTCCTTGTCAAAACAAATAAATGAAAACCAATCTCCTTAGGTAGGAGTACTAGACTGGGAGTCAAGACCCCTGAGAATATGACCTGGAGCAAATCCATTTCCATCTGTGCTCTGGTTTTGATCTCATTTAATGTAAAATGAGAGAAGCCTGCTGTTCCCTGGTTGGGCTGCTGGGGTCCTGGGCGAGGGCTGAGTCTGGCTCTGTGCCCGGTGGGTGATTCACGGGGCTCATTTTCCAGGGCAGCTCTCTCCTGACAGTGCTGAGGGCAGGGTCCTGGCTGGGCTGAGCAGCATTCCCTCCTACCCTTCCTCCTGGAGAGTGAGGCCAAGTGCAGCAGTGAACTCACGCCAATACTTTCTACAGATCAGCGTTCGGCCCAGCCCTCAACGTGGGGGCTGAAACAAGTATTTGAGGCCAATCTCCATGGTTAAACAAACTGCAGAGGCATAGGACTGGATAGTTGAGTAAGTGGGGAGGTTTTGATGGAATTAACTTTTGAAATTCAACTGCATGTATTTACAATTGCATGTATTTGCAGTTGCATGTATTTACAATTGCATGTATTTAGCTACCCATTATTGGAGGGCTTAAGGGTTTGAGTGATTTTATGAAATCCTCTATGGAATAAAGAATTGCAAAGTACTTTTACAGGTTGGGGTGGATCCCCTGCTAGCCCCCACCACAGGGTGACCTGCCCAGTCTCCCTTTGCAGGACCGCAGCAAAGAGGGAGGGGAAGGGGAAGCCTTTCCCAATTAGGACCTCTCCTTAGCTCCCAGTGATTAGAGATGGATTCTGGTGGAAAAACCCAGGCTTTGGGCTGCTGAGCCTTGACCATAAACACACAGACAATGGCCCAGACTGTGTGCCAGCCTCCTGTCTTCAGGTAGAGGACTGAGGAAGCATCAGAGGATAGATGAGATGGAGGGGAATGGAGTGGAGAAGAGGGAAGAGAAGAGGGGAGGGACAGAATGATGGGGGGGGTGAGGAGAGGAAAGAACAGGAGGAGGAGCAGGGACCTCAGGGATGGGAAGGGCCGAGTGGACAGGCCGTATCCTCACCCCATTCTTGTCGAAGGCTCGGAACATGCCCTCCACATACTGAGTGGCCTCCTCATTGCCCGTGACCTTGAAGAAGCGCTTGAACTCGTGCATGAAGAGGGTGCCGCTGGGACACTCCACCACAAACTTCTTGTACCATTCCTGCAGCTCCGCCACGTCCATCTCCCCAGCCGCCTCCGTCTCCTCCCAGCTGAACTGCTGCCCCATCCTGGCCCACACCGTCGGAGCAAGGGTCGCTGTCTTCCTCCCTCTCCTTTGTTTTGACCAGGATCTTCAGCATCTCCTGGGCTAGTGAACTTGATTGGCAGTGAAGGGGCAGAAAGGGGGGAGGCCCAGATGTGCTAAGCCACTGTAAGACCATTAGAAGATTCCCCGCAGGGGCTGACCTCCAGTCTGCTAAGCTGCTCCAGCTCTTTGCTTGGGGACCTCACTCCGGACAGACCCATCTTGGAGACCTAGTGATACTGAAGTTGCAGAGGAAGCGAGACAAAGTGCTCTCCCCTAGGACAGAATGTGCTGGAGGCCTGGCCTTGGCCCGCATGCTTAGTTCCCAGTAGTTGCTGCCTCCTTACAAACACACCTGTTTTTCATTTTCCAGGTTAAATTATCAATGCCTCCCTCCAACCCTCCACCCAAGCCCTACAAGTCCTGCCTTTCTCCCATCTCCTCCAAAGTGCGAATAGGAGAGCACAGCCTAAAATAGATTTGAAGGCTGTTAGTTCTATTAAAGATCATAGGAAGCCAGCTGCCAGTGGCTCACACCTGTAATCCTAGCTACTCAGGAGGCTTAGATCTGAGGATCACAGTGCAAAAACAGCCCAGTCAGTGTGGGGAGGAAAATAAATGAGACTCTTAATTTTAATTTTTTTTTTTTTTGATCCAGTCGTGGGCCTGAACTCTGGGCCTGGGCGCTGTCCCTCAGCTCTTCAGCTCAAGGCTAGCGCTCTACCACTTGAGCCACAGCACCACTTCCGGCTTTTTTCTTTTTGCTTATGTGGTGCTGAGGAATTGACCCCAGGGCCTCAGGCATGCAAGGCAAGCGCTCTACCACTGAGCCACCTTCCCAGCCCTGAGACTCTTATCTCCAATATGAGCCACCTAAAAGCCAGAAGCAGAGCTGTGGCCTAAGTGGTCTCTACCTACTAGCCTTGAAAAAATAAGTTTAGGGACAGTGCCCAGACCTGAGTTCAAGCCACTGTACTGCTGCATGAGTGGACAGACAGACACACAGAGACTTACTTTGGAATCAATTATACATTTTCATGCATATTTTAATATAAAAATGAGACCTTCAGGAAGTCAGAAGACCTAGAGCAGTAATTTTTCTGGAAGAATTTAGGAGCAGTAGTCAGTCACCATGTCCTTAATCTTGGAGGTGGCACTGTCTACCCTCGACTGGACGTTCATCATAGCCTTGATCTGTGCATTTCCAGGCCTGTCCCTCAGCACGCCCTGCTCTCCAGCCCACCCCAGTGCCTCCAAGTTACTTTAATCTTGCGGTTCATTCTTTTTTCTTTTTTTGTTGGTTGTGGGGCTTGAACTCTGGGCCTGGGTGCTGTCCTTCAGCTCTTTAGCTCAAGGCTACTGCTCTACTATTTGAGCCACAGTACCACTTCTGGCTTTCTGGTGGTTAATTGGAGATAAGTCTCACAGACTTTGCTTGCCCAGGCTGGCTTTGAACTACGATCCTCAGATCTCAGCCTCCTGAGTAGCTAGGATTATAGGCGTAAGCCACCGGTGCCTGGCTTGCTATTCATTAATGATTATTTCCTGTCATCCACTCAAGGATGACAGCTTTTCTCCCACACTCAAAGTCCAGAGGAGAGAATGTCTAGTATGCAGGTTGTGTAGGAGTTGCCTAATCACTTATTATCTGACCAAAGGCTTCTTCTATCCTTCTTGTCAACTGCCCATATCGATTGCTCTGTATCGCCTGTATGGCCTTTTACTCTTTTGTCAAAAAAGCCAGTCCTGAACTGGCACCAATAATCCTAACTACTCAGGAGGCTGAAATCTGATGATCGCAGTTTGAAGCCAGCCTGTGCAGGTGAGTCTGGGGGAGTCTTACTCCAATTAAGTATCACAAAAGCCTGTGAATTAGAGCTGTGGCTCAAGTGGTAGAGTTAGCCTTGAGTAAAAAGGCTCAGGGTAAGTGTGCAGGTCCTGGGTCAAGCCTCAGGGCCAGCACACATACACAAGTGCCAGTCCTAACCAGACACCGTGCTGATGCTGCTTGTAACCCTAGCTACCTGCGAGTCTGAGATCCAAGTGTTGTGGTGTAGAGGCGTGTCCCACTGCACCCACCCCTGGTTGAGATGAACTCTGGAGAACTTTTATGCCTGGGTTGGTCTTCAACTGTGGTCCTCATCTCCACATCCCAAGTACGTAGAATTACAGGCTTGAGCCACTATACACATCTTCCTTCCTTTTTGTGCTAGTACTGGGGTTTGAACTCAGGGTCTCTTGTTCACTGAGCTTTCTTGCTCACAAGTGGACATTTGGTGCTACGCCATGCGTCACACCTCTACCTCTCTCCCCTTTTTAAAATGGATATGGTCTTGCCATGTTGCCTAGGCTGTCCTCAAACTGAGGCTCAAGCTTCTCCCAGCTTGGCCTCCTGGGTGCTTGGGACTATGAGCTTACAGCGGGGGACCACCACATCCACTTCGAACCTGGAGAGGCTTTGGCGATCTTCTGCCCTGTGCCCATAGCAGTGAGGCGCATGAGGGAGGCGCCATCCCTGTCCAGCTCTGTAGGCAATACTCGGGAGTAATGAAGACAGCCTGTGTTGAGAAATTCTATGAATGAAATACAATTTGATTCAGCCTCTGGCTGAAGAATCTAAAATTTGATTGGTTTTTCAAGTGGGTCAGTGGCCTATAACCTGCCCTATAGATAGATACTGCTGAGCTAAGAGGGAGGTATAAATATGTATCACTTTAAAGAGGATTATGAACCCATGGACAGAAGTGATCGCCTGGAATGAGTAACAATATCGAGGACTTAGGAAGGAGGGTGAGGGCTGAGCTGGGGATTTGCGAGCCCTGGGGAGTGCAGGCAGCCTGCCACAGTCCTGGCTCTGTAAACTGAGAAGTGCTGCTCTATTGAGTCAGATCTGGCCAGAAGCCCCATAGTCTACTAGTCTACTGTGTTCACGCCAGGGCCCTTGGGGGCCCAGCTGAGCCCAAGCTGTCCCTCTGCCGCTCAGCACACAGAGCCCAAGCTAGCAGCCGGCCCAGCAGGATGGCCGGGTTAACCCTTCAATACCCCCCCAGTCAGTGTCTTCACTTCTAGGCGTCACAGGAAACAAGTACTTTTTGCCACAGTGAAAAGGGAAGTATCTAGCATTTAGGTATGTGTATTCTACATTTACTGTGTCTACATTTGAGCTCCTGAGACCCTTAAGTAGGTTGTCCCTGTCACTCACCTGAACTCAGGGCCTCATGCTTGCTAGGCAAACACTCTACAACTTGAGCCACATTCTAGCTCTTTTTGGCTTTAGTTATTTTTCATATAGTGTCTCACTTATTTTGCCTCAGACCAGGATCCTACCACCAATCTCTCTCACTTTCTCAGTGGCTAGGATTATAGACATGACCCACCATCCTTAGCTCACTGCTGAGATGAGGTCTCCTTAATTGTCACTGAATTTCATCCACAAAGTAAGTGAAATCTACCAAAAGAAAGAAGCCTTCTTGTCAGTGAGACACTTAAGTCTTTATGCTTCCTAAAGCTTAAAAGCTGTGATTTCTATTTTACTACAGGGCTGAGTGCTACGTTTGCCAAATACAAGCTTGCTGAATAAATTAATCAGACAAATGAAAGGACACAAGTACCAATTTCTTTTTCTTTTGTCAGTCCTGGGGCCTGAACTCTGGGCCTAGGCACTGTCCCTCAGCTCTTCAGCTCAAGACTAGCACTCTACCACTTGAGCCATAGCACTCTGGATTTTTCTGCTTATGTGGTGCTGAGGAATTGAACTCAGGGCCTCATGCAGGCAAGCCAAGCACTCTACCACTGAGCAAAATCTGTTGTGGTGACCTTTGGTTGCAGTTCCATCCTGGAAGGATTCAGGCTATGAGCGGAGCTCAGAGCAGGGCATAAATGTACTCCATCCCCTTTTTGAAGCATAAACTTTTTTTTTCCAGTCTTGAGGCTTGAACTCAGGTTCTGGACACTCTCCCTGAACTTCTTTTTGCTTAATGCTAGCACTCTATCACTTGAGCAACAGCGCCTTTTCTATTTTTTTTTATTGGTCATGGGGCTTGAACTCTGGGCGTGGGCGCTATCCCTGGGCTCTTCAGCTCAAGGTGAGTGCTCTACCGCTTGAGCCAGAGTGCTACTTCTGGTTTTCTAGTGGTTTACTGGAAATAAGAGTCTCACAGACTTTCCTGCCCGGGCTGGCTTTGCACCCTGATCCTCAGATCTCAGCCTCCTGAATAGCTAGGATTACAGGCGTGAGCCTCCGGCGCCTGGCTCAGCCTTTTCTATTTATGTGGTACTGAGGCACTGAACCTAGGGCTTCATACATGCTAGGCAACCACTCTTCTACTAAGCCACATTCCCAGCCCTGAAGCATAAACTTCTATATGGAGGTTTGCTGTCTTCACTCCAATATAGCCATTATTAAAGGAAATGCAAAACTTTTAGCTGCTCAATATTTAATGAATCAAAGCTTCCTTTGAGAAATTTCAAAATCTAAAAAATGTCCACAAAATACTTCAAATACTCACTTTCTGATGTAAATTAAAATCAGTAGAAATTAACAATTGCACAGCAGCAGCACACAAAAAAAATTATATATACAAACTTGACTACTGGCTCAGAGTATTCAAAATACTTTCTCATGTTTCTTAAAATGAAGACCGAAACAATAACAGGCATTCAAGAGTAGATAAAATGCTCTGTGCGCTAGGCTCCAGACTGCCTTTAAAGTTCCATGCCATCTCCCAGGGAGCAGTGCAGGGGGGCCCGGTGGCGCAGTCCCTCCACTGAGATGCACGCATCATCCCAGGGCACTGTAAAGCCATTCAGGGCATCGCTGTGGCATTATGACTTGCTTTCTTCGGTCTCCTCTGGCACCGTTTCCCAGATTGGCTTTTTGATGTGTTCCGGCAACTGCTCTAAATGTGTCTAAAGAGGGAGACACAGACAAACTATAACACACTATGGATTTCAATGAACAGGCTGTGAATTGTAATTACTGATTTTTCAAGTCCTCTCGACTTGGGTTTATTTACTCCCACTTACACTTACCTTTTATTTGTTGTGCATGCTGTTCCTGGGGCTTAAACTCAGGGCTTAGGTACTGTCTCTGAGGTTCTTGTTCAAGGCTAGTTAGTGCTCTACCACTTCCAGCTTTTTGGGTAGTTTAATGTAGATAAGAATCTCACAGACTTTCCTGCCCAGGCTGGCTCTGAACTGTGATCCTCAGATCTTAGCCTCCTGAGTAGCTAGGATCAGCACCACATAAGCAAAAAGAAAAAAGCCGGAAGTGGCGCTGTGGTTCAAGTGGTAGAGTGCTAGCCTTGAGCTGAAGAGCTGAGGGACAGCGCCCAGGCCCAGAGTTCAGGCCCCATGACTGGACCCAAAAAAAAAAAAAAAAAAAAAAGAATCTAACAAACTTTCCTGCCCTAGCTGGTTTTGGATCTTGAACCTTAGACCTCAGTCTCCTGAGTAGCTAGGATTACAGGCATGAGCCACCAGTGCCTGGCTCTTCTAGAATTCTGAAATGGGAAGAGGAATCTTGATGGCATACCCCCCCCACCTCTCCTCTCTCTGATCCTCAGGGATTTCCAGGTGAGACCACTCAATGTAGTCCCCAAGTCTAGACAAACAATAGGGAGAGAGACCTCAAAGGGGTCAGCAAGGACTCAGGCTGCGTGGCAGGATTCTGTGGCACAGGGGGTGTGTGTGGGAGCTCACAACTCTATTCCAGTCTGCTGCCAGTCCTTCCTCCAGAGGTGGGCAGAGGCCAGCGCCAGGCAGCAACCCCCAAACAATAGAGAGCCCTCTGAAGAGGGAAGCTCAAGCATACCTTTGTTACTTCCATGGCGACCCCTTCAGGTAAGTTCCGCTGAATGTATTCCAAGTAGACGTTGGCTGTGCATCCAGTGAGATGTTTTAACTAAAAGACCAACAACAAAATGGTCATGCTATGCAGATGAAGCAGAAATCCTTTAAAAAATTAAAACAAAAGTTTTGGTAAAAAGTGGCAGAGCCTGTTCTAAAAAACTTCATACAGAAACTCAAGTGAGGGCTTGGAAGGTGGCTCAGGGGTAGAGTGCCTGCCTTGCATGCATAAGGCTCTGGGTTCGATTCCTCAGCACCACATAAGCAGAAAAATCCATTAGTGGCACTGTGGCTCAAGTGGTAGAGCGCTAGCTCAGGGACAGCGCCCAGGCCCAGAGTTTAAGCCCCATGACCACCACCACCACCACCAACAAAAGCCTCAATTCTTTGACTGAGCTAGATAAGGGATTAGGGAGAAGCCCTTTCCTCCCAAATGTGTCTACATCAGAGCTAGTGCTCTACAAACACAGCTGGCTAGCAGGAAAGCAAAGCAGGAGTCTTACAAGGTTTTGCAAAACGGCTCACATGAAAGGAAACAAAAAGATTAGATTATTAAAGTTAAAGATTTTCTGTATGCTCCATGACAAGATGGTTGTCAGAAATGGGGAGATAAATTTTGAATGTTTCTTTTTCTTTCTGAGCTGTATGTAGTAGCACATGCCTATAATCTCAACACTTGGGAGGCTGAAGCGGAAAAACTGGCAGTTCAAGGACAGCATGGGCTACATAGCCATACTCTAGCTCAAAAATAAAAAATCCACCAAGCACTGGTGGCTCATGCCCAGTTACTCAGGAGGCTGAGATCTGAGGATTGCGGTTCAAAGCCAGCACAGGCAGGAGAGTCCATGAGACTCTTATCTCCAATTAACCACCAGAAAACCAGAAGTGGCACCCTGACTCAAAATGTTAGAGCTCTATCCTTGAGCTGAGGAGCTCAGGGACAGTGCCCAGGCCCTGAGTTCAAGCCCTACAACCAACAACAATCAAAACAAAAATCCAAACATCTTAGTCCCTATTATGTTTTTATTTCAAAAAATTCCTGAATGGGGCTGGGAAGGTGGCTCAATGGTAGAGCGCTTGCCTCACATGCATGAGGCCCTGGGTTCAATTCCTAAACACCACATAAATAGAAAAGGCCAAAAGTGGCATTGTGGCTCAAGTGGTAGAGAGCTAGCCTTGAGCTGAAGAGCACAGGGACAGCACCCAAGCCTAGAGTTCAAGCCCCATGACTAACCCCCGCCCGCCCCCAAAAAAAATCCCTTAGAAGCTGGGCATTGGTAGCCCACACATAATCTAGCTACTCAGGATGCTGAGATCTGAGGATTGCAGTTGGAAGCCAGCACAGACAAGAAAATCTGTGAAACTCTTATCACCAATGAACTATCAGAAAACTGGAAGTGGCACTGTGGCTAAAAGTGGTAGAGGGCTAACCTTGAGCAAAAGAGCTCAGGGACAGCATGTAGGCCCTGAGTTCAAGCCCCACGACCACCACCACCAACAAAAAAACAGAAACAAAAAAAAGAGAAATCTAGACAACTGAAATAAACTTACCTCCAAACATCTATAAAGTGTTCTCATTTCATATTGAACTCTATGCTTCTTAAAAATATGCACTGATTTGAGAAGAGTAAATCGCTCTATTTTCCTTGGAGGTTCATGTCTGAAATTAATGTTAAATGATGTTAAAACTCTGAGTCACTGATATCAAAGCATGATTCTACAACTTTGTAGGTTAGACTCACACTCAATTACAGGCATTAAGTGCCATTTACTGACTTCCATTCATCAGGACTGTCATTTGTAACCACTGCTGCACAAAACTCAGGCCAAAACAAACACTGCAGTCAGCCAATATGAACCTTTCCCACAAAGCCAAAACTGAGCATTGGCATACAATTGTGCATGGGCTGGTGCTTTTATACCCTCAGGAACCAAATGTACTAACTGTGAGGAGTGGTAGCAGTGTAGGGGACGCTCATAATGTCTGCTATAATGTGTGTTGTTGGAGAAAAATTTATAGATACATTGATAATCACAAAACTATAGTCTGTCTTGGCAAACAGCGTGGCCTTGTGGTTTTGTTAGGAAGCCAGACACATAGCCCCAGTGGGCCTGATTGATACCAGAAAGTGTAGGTGACAATAGAGGGGCAGTTGGACTTTTCCCCAGAGGATGACAGAGCTTGATGGAGCTCGCCCCAGGTCAGTGGTGTTTCTTTGGCAGACTAAACAGCGGACGCAGGGGAAAAAGATCTACAGAGAGTGTGTGTTCACCTGCCCTATCTCCCTGACACATGGAGACCTAAGACATAGGTTGCTTGGGTCTCCTTATGTGAATGCAATGTCTAGAAAGGATCTTTTGCATATTCCTTGTTAAATATTTAGAAATTCTAATCCAGTGGAAGGGGTGAGATTTCTTAGGATAACACGATGAACTCTATGTCTACCAGTCATGACTGATTGCTTTCTATGGGCTCAGATCTTCCCAGAATGCTACCCGTTTCCCAGTTCATCATACTAGCAGCCAGTAGGTCAGATTAGGAAAAGCTACACTTACACTTTAATAGAAATTCCAAGTTCTTTAGCAGCAAGCACAGCAAAATATTCATAACTGTCCAATACAGCCTTATCGTGGCCTTTTACTAAGATTGACAGACGTTTATATAAGGTGTCCGGTTCATCAGAAATGGTGATCTAAAACCAAAGAGAGAAATGTGGGCTATGATTCCTCAAGTAGTTATCAGTAGCAAATTTAACTCATTACTGTTGCCTAGACAACTCAAGAATTTAGTAGAAATGCTGTGAAATATCTTCTGGTTGTTAACCCACACAATCACGTGCACATCTGCAAAACGACTTTTAGGGCAATCTACAAAATCACCAGTAGAATTCTCCCACTGAGTAATTATTGACCTCCAGACTCACAGCGAGAAAGGTCTATTAATGAAAGCACGCTGGTCAGAGACCTGGATTGAGAATTAAGGACACCGGGCATGTCTTATCATCCCATCACCCCCTCATCCCCACATATGCAAAACAGGGTGATAACCCTGTGCTATAGCTCACAGCTTTCTGTACTGAAACAAAGAAGGAAGCATGTAGTAAAGTGCTTCTAAACTGGTAAACAGCATCCTTCTCACACAAAGTTGAGTTCTTTCCATTCATCTTTTTTATAAGGCTTTATCATATGCTTTACCTGTCTTAGCATATAAATTATGTCTAATTAAGATGTTATGACTCCTGATTGCAGCTATAACTTCTACCTCTTCCACCCTAACACCTAAAGACCTTAGAAATAATGGGGTTGACATATCTGACTTTCTTCCAAGAGGTGAATTATCTTCATTGCATTCACCAATTAAACCCAGTAAATTATATTACTAATCCAATGATTCAGGGCTAAATTACTTTGTCCATGAAGAGATCTACTTAGTAACCAGGAAGTAAGTCATCTACTCTTAATTACTCCAAATAGGGCTGCTGGAAAAACAGAATATACTGAGCTCTTATGTTAAAATTTGGGGGATAGTGAAGGGAAACAGAGCCCTGAGATGATGTGCTCTAGTCAATCCCTGTCGTTTAGGGTTGTTTTGTTTCGTGTCATGTGTAGGCTGAGCTTTGTGCATGCTATGGAAGTGCTCTACACCCCAGGGCCCTCACAGAGGTTTAAACACATATGAATTTGTTATAAATATTAAGAATCTGGAGTTTCCCCATAAAAATGTGGGTATCAGTTTAGTTTGAAGTATTTAAATACTCTAGCATCACTAGGTTTGATTTCCCATAATGGTGACAAGTAGCTAAATAGCAGAAAGGCAGCTCCTGCTTCTGACAAGCCTGGCACCTGAGTGGGAGACCAGCATTTATATGCACTGTCATGAGAAAAAAAAAAAAAAAAAGACAGTGCCATGCTGTATGTAACACACCATTCTGGTATCCATGCACATGGGTAGACTGCTTACATATAGATGAATGTCTAGAAGGACTTATATCAAATTGTAAAAGGAGGTTTTTTTCTGCAGGTAGAAATGAAGAGTTTGGAACTTCTAAGGGTTTTTAGAATTACATGTCACAACTGGGCTACTGGGGTCAGTGCTGCTGCGCTGTCCCACATCTAGCTCGGGAGTCCCATTACTGTGCTTGTGTTCCTTCTCTCTGTGAGCAACAAAGCACTGCCCAGCCCAGAGTCAATAGGTAAACATACTTGAAGGCTGTATTTTTTCCACAACGTAGCACTGAGAATTCTGCATCAATAATTATCATCACGACTCTGCAATTATGCTGCGCTAAAATCAAGAGACTGCTCATTCCCACAGTTGTTTGTAGTAAAAAATTTATTCTCTTAGAACTTACTTCAGGGTCTCTGAGACCCTGAAGCACACAAGGACTTTATGGAAGATGCACATTGTACATTTGCTGGTATTTCTGAACAACATTTTTGAAAAAGCATTTGGGAAACAAGTCCAAATGAAATATTAAGAAGTTGTTGCTAATGTAACTCCCTAAGAGACAGGGAATACATACCATAGGCTTGGTCAAATCCTTTGGAACATCAATGTGTAGGTTTGAATACTGTACCCACTTCAAATTGGCACTGGTACATGTGGACAGCAATGGAGAGGAAAAAAAAGAGAAACCTAAATAATGCAGCAAAAGCCCACCTTCTAGTTCAGTTAAGCTCAGATAGTTGTATACTTACAGAGACAAGTCATCATTTCTGGTTGTACTGCTCTTAAAACTGTTTGTAGAAAAACTCCCAAACAAGCCCTTAAAAATAAAGGAGAGGACATGTATTAGAACAAAAATTGATTACCAAACCACTCATAGTTTCCACTACAAAACAAAACAAAACAAAAAAAACCCCAAAGGATGCCCAATGCTCCAAATAAAGAAACATCTCATTATTTCAGAAAAAGACCATAGGGTAGCTAAATTAAATTTCATTTAAGGATATGAGAAGACAGGGCTGAGAAGGTGGCTCAGTGGTAGAGTGCTTGCCTTGCATGCATGAGGCCCTGGGTTCGATTCCTCTGCACTACATAAGCAAAAAGAAAAAAAAGCTGGAAGTGGCGCTGTGGCTCAAGTGGTAGAGCACTAGCTTTGAGTTGAAGAGCTGAGGGACAGCACCCAGGCCCAGAGTTCAGGCCCCATGACCGGACCCCCCCCCAAAAAAAAAAGAATATGAGAAGACAATGGTAAGAGTTGAAAATTAAAAAGCATTGTCAAATACCAGATTCTCAATCTTTACATTTAAAAATGAGCTATGAATTAAACATGTAGCTATTTAAAAAAAATCATAAGTGCCTTTTATTTTCCCATTGTTTTCAGAGTAATTGTACTTTAATACTTTTTGTACTTGAACACTTTTAAACAATATTGCATGGCTGCATAATTTAAGCTATTAATGGAGCACATATCTTTTTGGCTGGGGTAATTAGCTTAAAAATTAAAATACAGCACATGCTGGAAAATGTATCCATCTTATTACTATGCCTCAAACTACAATCTAGCACCGCCAAATCCTTTCTTGTGAGCACCCCCTAGTGGAACTGGACTTTTTTTAGGAACCATAAATGATATTACAGAGATGTACCTTTGGCATCTACCTGCTTTTTCTTTAAGCTTTGAGATTTAAAAGTGTAACACAAGGACTAGGAATGTGGCTTAGTGGTAGAGTGTAACACAAGCAAGTTTTTTTTTGGATCCGGTCATGGGGCCTGAACTCTGGGCCTGGGCGCTGTCCCTCAGCTCTTCAGCTCAAGGCTAGCGCTCTACCACTTGAGCCA